AATATATTCACTACAGATCATTGGTTTGAAAGCTATCTGTTCCAATAAGAAGAACCTGCAATTTCACATCTCAATCCTGGTCGCGACGAGTTGAACGTTTCAGAATGTTTCAGACCTTTCTCCTCTTGAAGATCTTGGGTTCGTACTACAAGCGTTTGAAGAGGACGCAAAAAACAAAACAGGTCAAGAGCGTCAGCGTTGCTTTCCTTGGTTTTCTTGATCGAAGATGTTGGGCTTCCCGCCGTCGTTCGAACTGGGCGAACTTGGAGACCCTACGACCTACGTCGTTTCCCAAAGACAGTGGAAGAAGTGGGGGTATCTCCGAGGAGAAACCGTGCCATACCGTGGGATCTCGGCCACTCAGAGATCTTGGAGGGCCTTTATTGGTTTTGTTTTATCAACCTGCCAGCCGGATTTTAGCTGAGATGCTATGCTGCCTGCCGTTGCAATCCGTTGAGTCGCGGGAAGCTCAAAGACGTCCACTGAATTCGGCGCCGCACAAACGCACGTGTGCGTGTGTTTCTTCAGAATGATTGGGTGTAAAATTTGCAAGCTTGCACATTGATTTGAATAATATTTGAAGCAAATTATCCATACTCTGATTTCTAAGCAGACGACGTATGTGTTTCTCAGGCCGAAGGTGGCTGGCAGCAACGGCACCCTGGGAAAGAGTTTGACGCTCGGTAAATCTCGATTCGGGCCAAGGTAGTTCTCGTTCATCTTAGTTCGGCTCAATGTCACACTCCCTCGAATCATCGTCCCAGTTCACAGTTCGCTCAAGCGCCACTTCCGTTTGGTATTCGGACATGAGAAATCCAAAACCAGGGCCATGCCATCCACTTCCATAAGTGTTTCAGGGAGTGTTATTAATTATCGTCGTAATTCATTATTATGAGAATAACCGAGAATATCTCCCGGTCTCCAATGATATTCTGTGGGTAATTGATTCCAATGAACATCGTTTGTGAGTGATTCGGTCGTCATGAAAAAAGGGCGAAACCGGTAACCCAACGGAAAGGTGGTCCTCCGCCTCCGAGCGTCGATAGCCCTCGGTAGCACTCGTAGCACATGTGGTCGGAGTCCAAAGCAGTTGTCCTCCTTGGGCCACCGCCCAGTTCCCCAAGGTACTTCCGCTGCTTCCGACGATTGTAAGCAGAGTTTCTCATGTCGAACATCGTCTCGAGCACGATGATGGTGGTCTGCTGTGAAGCGTTAGGACAGGCAAACAAGTTCAACTTCACTAATCAATCAATCCTCCCCTCCCCCCAAAAAAGCAAACACATGTAATAACCACAACAATAAGAAGCACATAGAAGGTCAACAATCTGTTGTTCTTCTTGTCATGTAGCACTCTAAGTATATATGTTTTTTAGAACACCATCAGTTTGGTGCATGGTTCTTTGCTCCAAACCACCTTACACAGCTTGTAGACAAGGTCTTCTTGCGGATCTCCTCGGAGCGCCGGCGGCGCCGGGCTGCCCTTCCGTCCTCAGGAAGCACAAAGCGCCGGGGCTCTTCGATGAACTGGCGGCGCCCTGCGACGTCCGGACGGCCCGTTGACGCCACCGGACGGGTGGTCGACCGGCACCCGGGTGACGGCTTCGGCACCCGCGCGGCACTGCGGTT